TGTTATCTGCTAAACAACATTGCTAAAATCAAAACTGTGGCTGTTTTAACTGCTGTTTTTGCAAGATGGCGATAAGTTTACCGCCAGCACTGGACAGCAAGTCTCAGCTTGTCTCTAGCAAAACAGAGCCCACCTGAGAAAATTCTGCTACCAAGAAGCCTTGCTTGTCTCTGTTCTTTTGTTTCTAAAATCCCTTTTACAGTTTTGTCACTCTACTTGAAAATTCATATCCCACACTGACACCATATTGTTGCGGGATTCCTGCCCAGATTCCGTTGCCACTTTAGCCCCCAAATAACACACAAGACACTATATTAATTATGAAGCTGTTGGCCATTTGCTATGGTTTCTAATCAGCTAGCTCTACCTTATTTATTTACCCATAATTACTAATATATGTTTTTATAAGGTTTTATCTTACCGAGAACACAGACTTGCATCCTCTTCCCAGGAAGATTACGTGGTGACCACTCTCTTCACTACATTTCCCAGAGTCCTCCTAGATTCCTAGTCCCACCTATCTTGCTTCCTTATTGGTCAACAGTGCTTTATTTATACCAATCAAACATACACATGACTTCCCCCATCAAATATACATATCTGGTTGAGTAGGAACTCTACATAGACCAAGTTTTTTTTTCCTTTTGCCTCTGTCTTTCAATTTATTGGAGTCCAGGCATTCAACATGCCAGAGTTCATTATATTGAAAAAGACCTGTCTCCTTAATGTAAGAGCTACTTGGTAATAAAATACCTTTTTCTGCTAACATGCTAACTTCTATTACATAATTTTTACTTTTTAGATTATTGGATTGAAATGTATGGAAGGAAGCTAAGGGTAACTTTTTACTACTTATAAATGCATTAATTATAGGAGGGCTTGAGTATCTTTATTTTCACTTAAAAACTGCCTAAAACCTAGTAAGACTCATCATTTTAATATTCTTAATTCTTCAACTCACTAAGCTATTTTATCACATATTATATACTTCTTATGTCTTAAACTTCTATCATTTCTTTTGTTTTATTATTTCATCTACTCTTGCATGTCTGGTTGCTTGTTTTTCTCTCAGAAAATGAATCCTTGTGCTAAGAAATGTTTCTTCTATTGTGTCTTCTCTATCACTCAATTAACTTGAGTTTACTACTAAGCTGGCCTTTAATTTACCTTCTGAAATAATTATTTGGCAAATCAGCATTTCTAAATTGAGAAAGCATGTAGGATTGCAATGCACTTAATTTTCTTTGAATTCTTGTTATTTGTTCAAATACTGTCTCAAAAACAAATTTATTTTGCTAGCATGAGGTCTGTTTGTACAGACTGATCTCTGTGGATGCTTGTTATCTCTTTTTAGCCTCAATTTTGACTGTAGGAATAAACAAGCAAAGAAAATCAAATTTCTCCAAAATAGCACTAATGGTGCAGGAGCAGGTGGTTTCCCATCCCAGAGAGGGTGTCAGAATAAAGCCCCTTTGTTTCATCAAAGTCTCAACTTTGGGATCTAGGATCCAGTCTAGTTCCTCCCTTGTCACATATAAAATCTCTCTCTCTCTCTCTCTCTCTCTCTCTCTCTCTCTCTCTCTCTCTCATGGTTTAAGAATTTATTTGAGCTCTTTTGTTATAAATTGTTGTTACTTACATACATAAATAAATATGTAACTACTACCTGACCATTTAGTGTTTGATAAACAATTGGTGTGCTCCCCTGGGGAAGACTATCACTCCCACTCTCATCATTCCTAAATTGACTACAGAGGGCTATATGGGAGGGTTTGGAAGGAGGAAAGGGAAAAAGGAAATGATGTAATTGTATTATAATCTAAAATAAATGCCCAAAAGACAAACAAATGGATGAATTAGGTTTTATCGACATATTTATGTGTGTGTACATACACCTGTATGAATTTTATAGTACAATATACAACTAATAATAATAATAATAATAATGAGGACATGCTGCCAACAGGAAAAAATATTCACCAACCCCACATTTGACAGAGGGCTGATTCCCAAAATATACAAAGAATGCAAAAAACTAGTCACCAAAATATCAAATACTCCAATTAAAACATGGGTTATAGAACGAGATAGAGAATTCTCAATAGAGGAATCTAAAATGGCTGAAAGACACTTAAGAAAGTAAGAATGACTAAAATAAAAAACACCAATGACAGTTTATGCTGGAGAGGATGTGGAGAAAGGGGACCTCCACTCCACTGCTGATGCGCATGAAAACTTGTACTTTTACTTTGGAAATCATCAGAAAAAAACATGGAATCTTGAAATTTTCAGGCAAATGAATGGAACTATAAGAAACCATCCTGAGTGAGGTAACCCTGTCACAAAAAGGCGAACATGAGCCTTCATCCAGTACCTGATAGAAGCAGAAGCAGACACTCACAGTTAAACACCAAGCAGAACTCCTGGAATCCAGTTGCAGAGTGGAAGGAGTGATGAACAAAGGGGTCAAGACCAGGCTGGTGAAACCCACAGAAACAGCTGACCTGAACAAGGGGGAACTCATGGATCCCAGACTGATAGCTGGGAAACTAGTATAGGACTGATCTAGACCACCTGAACGTGGGTGTGAGTTAGGAGGCCTTGGCAATCTATGAGGCCTCTGGAAGAGAATTAGTATTTATCCCTAGTATAGGAATGGACTTTGGGAGCTCATTCCACACAGAGGGATACTCTGTCAGCCTAGACACATGGTGGAGGGCCTAGGCTCTTCTCCAAATGATATGATAGACTTTGAAGATCCCCCAAGGAAGTTCTCACCCTCCCTGGGGAGTAGAAAGGAGATGAGATAGAGGGAGTCCATGGGGAGCAGGAAAGGAGGGGAGGGAGAGGGAATTGGGATTGACATGCTAAACATGCTTGTTTCTAATTTACCTAAAAAATAATCACCAGAAAAAAATAATGATATCATGAATTTGAGATGTAATGAGAAGGGAACCATATCAGCCATTCTAAGATTTACTAAAAAGCTGCTAGGATAGTAATCTTGAACATCTCCCAGAATGCAGACAATTCATCACATTTGTTTAAATCACAATTGGAAGCATCCTCTTCTTATTCATTCCCCAGCTTGGAGAATATATGCTTCACAACTCTAGAAAGTTTGTTTTTTCCTAGTAATCGATCTTATTTTTAAGGAATGTTTCAGAAATGTAGCAAGGTCCCTGAAGAACTCAGACCTAGAAACCAGGCAGATAGCTCTAGTAATGTACTCCATGATTTGAGTTTTAACCCTTAATTATGAATAAAGCTGACCATCGTTAATCCTGTCACTATTGTGCTAATGGCTCTTTGTCAACTTGACACACCCCCAGACATACTGGGAAAAGAGAATCTCAATTTAGGAGTTGTCTCCAAGGAACAAGTTTGTGAGGCCTTTTCTTTATTATGACTTCTGTGGCTGACCCAAGATGGCTGTGGCTGGCGGCATCACCTCTGCATAAGTGGTCTGTGTAGTATAAGAAAGTAAGCCAGTAAGCATTTTTTTCCATGGTTCCTGACTTTGCTTCAGTGTCAGTGTTGGGCTGTGGTAGGACTTGAAAAATGTATTTCTTTAACAATAGCTAATATAAGAAAAACCATAATGTGGATTTCTTTTTATTATAGTTTTTAAAGCTGTAATACTTAACCAAGGAATAACTAACTGAAAAGCATGTGTGTCTTGTAAGCTTTCACCAGATTCATTGAAGCAATTAGTTAATTGAGAATGGAATCACCTAAGAGACAGTGAGTTAGCTCAGTAGGTAAAGGCATTTATACCAAGCTAGATGACCAAATGTGATCTCAAACTCATAACCCTCCACAAGTTATTTTATGACCACCAATCATAGCATAAGCATGTGCATACATGTGTGCATGTATGCACATATACAAATATAATACGAGTATATAAAAGAGCTGTATGAACATATGAGTCTTCTGATAGTTTATGATTTAAATCAATAAACAGTCACATAAAAACATCTTCCAAAATACCGAAATAAATTCAGAAAACTTATTTTGACTGGATGAGAATAATGTGATCTACTAAATAGGAGAACTAAAATAGTATTTGCTGTAACTCCTTTGAGCTGGTTAGTACCTAGTGCTTTGTATTTGTCCCATTAAATGGAGTATTACAGAGGTACTTAAATTGCAAATTACACTTTGAATTCAACTATGAAAAATATTGTGAGACTGGTTATGAATACATTCTCAATATGCAGCTTAGCTGTTGAAAAAGTTAAGAGTTGAAGGGACGGCTTTCCGAATAAATTCCCAATGGATTTCTGAAAAATAGACAGAAGAAATGAACATTTTGATACCGACCAACAGCAAATAAATTTTTATATTGCACACACACACACACTAGTGGTAGTTGAATGAGAAAAAGGAAGAGGGAGCAAGGAATGGAGCACGGAGGAAACAGACAGAGCTCTGAAATTATCAAAAAGGAGATAAGCCCATTGGTACTATATGCTAGTTCCTCCCTTTAAAATCACTCTGAACCTTAGAAAACTGGGTTTGGGGGTGGGGTATATTCTAAATGATGTCTCTAGCAGCAGCTTCGGGAGAATTCATCCCTTAGTCTTTTTAGAAGTCTCATTAGCGTTGAAGTCAATTAACTGGCTTCAAGCTGGTCATGCCCATGAGATACTTCCAGAGGAAACTGATTCTGCTCTGCGCGGGCACCGCATATTCAGCTTCCAAAGCCCTTTTCAAGCATTTCAGTATAATATGTCTTGACTAAATTGTGTCTTTTCCGTGAGGCAAGGAACATCCCCACATAGCTCTGCCCCCTAATCCTGGAAACCTTTAGCACCTCCTTTTCAGCCCCGAGGCTTCGTTCTCCACTCCCTCTGGGAACCTAGTAGGCTCTGCACCAAATCTATTCTACCCCTTCCCTTTTTTACGTGGTGAAAGGCTGAGCACTCCCATGCGAGGTAAGTGGCCTGTCACTCTGTCCCGCTGTGCAGCTGTGATTGGCGGGAAGGACAAATCCTCTGGCCCCGCCTCCTTCTGTCTTTGCCGCGCTCCGTGGATTTTTTTTTGCAAAGGTGGAGAGCGATATTCTGGCGCTTGGACCTGATGGAGCAGCATTCCCAGTTTTGACTGCTGTTGTTCTGTCTCAAGCCAGTGGGGTCAGAGCCAAGAAAAAGCGAGTCTTTTCCTGCTGAAAAAGCTTTGGGGAACTGTTGCTCAGGACCTAGGCACTCCTGACGCATCGTCTCAGTCTCACTCCATTCTATGGCTCCACTGTGAAATCACTCGCATTCACGTTTGTAGCCCTGTGAATCCCTCTGCTCACTGCTTGGAGGAGGGGTCCAGGGAAACATCAAGTGTTTGGAAGGAAGGGCTCCTGAGTACTGCGGGAGCTGTCTGAGGTGCTGAAACCTTCCAAGTGTTTGTCTCCACGAGCCCCAGAAGGGGTTAGATGGCACGTTTTCATTTCTGCCCTTCTGGTCCCTCATGCCTCGGATAAGACTCTTTTCAGGATTGTGAATATCGCTCTGTATCATGGCACACGTGAGACACTTTCGGACACGAGTTTCTGGATTTTACTTCTGGGAAGCTGCACTGTTACTGAGGTAAGTCCCCAGGCATTAATTCTCTCATTAAGAGCTCAATAAGCCAATGTATTAAGCTGCAACCACTTGTTAATGAGGAAGCTGAGAAATGGGTGATTGTGTACTGACTTACTGAAATTCTCCTTTTAATCACACTTTTCTGTCTTAAAGACCCTCGTCATCACTCTATTGAGACCTGTAGAAACGTAATTTCCTGTTATTTTCGCTGGTTATATGTATTTAAGTAACTGAACTATTTCTACATTACTGTTTAAAACTTAATGATTTTTAAAAAACAGACATTTTTCCTTTTCATATATTCCCTTAGATTATTCTTTGAAATGGTGAATTGTGTGTTCTGAATGTTTATTTATTTTAAAAAGTTACAAAACATTAAGAATTTAGAAGTGGGGTAATATTAAATTAGAAGGAAACATATACAGCACAGGTATTTATTGATCAGAGAAATGTCATTTTCAATATGTGCAGAGATTGCATTAAAACGGGGACTTTGAGGCACTACTTTGCAATGACCTAATTCAATACATGAAGGCAAATTCATTAATAAATCATCAGATATGTTCTATGCCTACAGTTGTCTTTTGGAAGCAAGCAGAATAAAAGGCCTATCAACTTGCAAAATTGCTGTGATATGACATTTTTTACTATGTCCCAATCATGTTAGGTAGGCTTTCTACTTTGCATATTACCTAGAAGAAACTAATAGAAGCTAGGTGAGAGTTAAAATAGTTGAGACCCCATTGTTAAGCAAATACTGCTTGAAAGAAAATGCTCATATAGATATTTAAACTAGCAACATAAATTGTATGCTACTATAGTTGCTTAATGACTGTCTTGGGGATTTTCACTTAATGACTGACAACCTTTTCAGGAGTGCCAAAGTTAAATATCTAGAACAACTGAGTTGGTTAAACATATGCTGGTTTCCATCTGGTGTAAGAATTCTTCCTTGTGTTAGCAAATCAATTTTTAATCTTTTGGCTACCTTAATAAGTATGCCTCTCATGAGCTGCCCTGTATAAGATCATATAGTTCTGGCATGCCTGCATGTAACAGTTGAAATGATTGAGAAGAAAATTACATTTTGTACAAATGTTGACCGCCTTCTATATTGAGAGCTTGCAGCATTTCAGATCACAGTATTTTCAGTGGAAAGTGTTTTATAAATTTTTGGAACTTTCAGTTGACAGAGATTTTATATGAGTAACTTCTTTATCTGAAACTGGAATCAGATGAGAGTAGGTCATTATACTGTGAAAACTTTAATAACATATGAAAACTAAGTATTTTCACTCCCAGTGGTGGTCCTGAAAAGAGGATTTGCATGAGAATGAAAGACTACCTTACTAAAAATGATGTATCAATGTCTTTGTGGAAGTTATTCTTTGTTAACTAAATCTGTTTGTAATATATTAATAGAAAAGTAAAAGTAAAGATATTGACTTGAAATATGTACTTCATTATTGTTAGCTATAGTCAGTTTACAGTCCTACCAAGCAGCAGAAATCATTATTTTAACATAATGATATTTTAACAAACTCTTTCCAGAACAACATAGAAGCAAGAGCAGCATCAATCAAACATCAAAGTCATGTATAATGTTCTGGTTCAAATAATTTTTACAGGTTCTTAAGGTATTAAAAGTTGTATTTAAGTAGTATACACATTTTGAAAATAGCCATATACATAAATTTAGTTAAGTTTTTCATAATGGTAACATACCAAGATGATGAGATCATAGACCAAGAATTAGAAGTATCAACCAATACCACACCCCAACTACCACCTCTATCTCCTTCACCTTTCCCAATGGAAATCAATATCCTGATTTATGCCACAAATGTTTTCCTTGATTTGTTTATTATAAATAAAAATAATTTGCATCTTACTCATTTTTCAGACCACTATGCTTGAATGATTGTCCATAGTGCTGCACATAGCAGGAACTTATTGTTAAGTATTGGTGCACTTTATATGACCACACAACAATTAATTTATCCATTGCTCTCAGTAAATTCATGAGCTATATTCATGGACTAGTTTGGGCTAATATAACCCTACCATGAATATCCTTGAACATCTTGTGATGTGTGAATATGTGTGTATGTATGTATGTATGTATTTATGTATGTATGTATGTATGTATGTATGTATGTAGAATGTATGTGAGTACTGTGTGTATGCCAGCCCTGAGATTTTCTCTGGAATAATTGCTGGGTCATAGGGCAGGCATGAATATGGTTAAACAGTATATTAAACTTTGGTAGATGTTGTCACCTTTCCAAAACAGGTGTATTTAATTCTAATCTTATAAGTGATGTCTGAGTTCCTCTTGTTTACTAATACATAACTTGACTAATGTTAAGATATTATGAAATGTTTAATGTTTTCCTTGATGACTATTGCATGGCTACAAATTTTTTAAAAGTTGGAAAGAGTAATTAAGTTTAATAAAATCAGTCAAAATTATCAGAATGAAATACTTATTGCCACACTGCAATTAGAAGTAACTATGAGGAAGACATGTCAGTTTTGGGATATTTTAAAGAAAAATTTACAGGAGATGGTTCTTTATACTTACATTTCAAAATTGTATAGACATAGAATATTAATTTCTAAGTGTTAAGGGTGTTAAAGCTTTCTGGCTTTGCTAGAATATTGCTGTTTTATTAAGAACTTTTTCATGAATTTTAGTTTTCATCTTAATAAAACCAGAAACAAAGCATCACTGTTATGTTCTCTTTGAAATGCAGATAAGTGGTGATTAAGAAGGGTTTGCAGAATAAATGCCAAAAACATAAAACCACAAACAAAATTTTCTTTAACGTGGTGAAGCACTGATACCATTCAATTTTTTTACTAATAGAGGACCAACAGAGGTTTGCTACTTGACAAAATTATAACATTTTGTGGCTAAACCTGACTGTGTAAACTTCAGACATGAAAGCAAATGAAAAGAAAACAGGTCTTAATATATTACCTCAAAGTCTACCAAAATATTTTGTCATTTGAAATTCTTGGTTTTGCTTTTTATTATGCTCTAGAAGATGAGAACAGTCCTTTTAAGTGCCTTTTCTTGGGAGATCTGTTTTCTTATGTAACACAATGAAAAATAATATATTTCATAGAATAATCTTACAGATTATTATATGAGGTTACATACACTCAATTATTTTATAGCTTTAATGAATTATACCTCTCACACATGATTCTTCTGCTTTTGAAAGAAAAATATTACATACAGATAAATCATAGCCCAGAATTCCAATCTATGTTGCAGATTACAGAGCATTTTATAAAATTCCCTTTTTAAATAAACTTAATTCTTTTTTACTCATACAACCCTATACCAAGGTGTGACAATCAACAATTGTGTTCTTATGTATACCATTAAGAATTTCAGTATGATTCATTCACCAAAGTCTGCACATGTGTTTGTGTCCAAAGCATGCTTAATTATGCTTGGCTGGGGAGTTGTCACCACCAATCATAAGACTTAAATCACAGAAGAGAAAGTTGGGTCAGGTGTCAAGAAATAGACAAACTCTGTTTTCTGCACCTTGAGGAAGGGATGTGGTTGAGAAGACTTGATAGTTGTTTTGAGTTATGTCAAATATGCACTCAATAATCAGAAAAGAATATTTTGAATATTGAATGATAGTACAGTTATACAGTGTATTCTTAAGTTACTAGAATAAATCATAGTTTATGATTTAAGATTATATGCCTCTTGCGATAATTATTAACATGGCTACCACAATAAAAGTTGAGGGAAGGAGAGAAGGCTCGGGTTGAGGTGCTTGTTGCTAGGCCATATGACTCAAGATATAATCCTAGAAACAACATGGTAGAAGGGAAGAATAGACTCCTAAAAGCCCTCTGATCTCCAAACATGTGCTGTGGAATGTACATGCTCCAATACATAAATACTTATATAAGCACAGAAACACATACAAGTAAATAAACAAATAATAATAAGCCCTCCCTAGTAGGGAGACAATGCAATGAAATGGAATATGAATAAAATTGCAATCAGTTGACTTAAGTATAACTCAGTAGCATCTATTGTAGGGATAGTGCTAGATTAGAACTTGGATCAAAATACCTATGTATCTATTTCCTGGAGAGAGAGTTTCCTTAAAAACTATAGGCAATTACTGGGTGCAGTGTTATTCATGTGGCCTCAGCTACTCAAGAGGCTGAGGTCGGTAGGAGAGTTACTTGGACCAAGAGAGTTCATGTTCAGCCATGAACATATAATAAGACCCATTGTAATAAACCATGCAGATAATCTTAATGTTGATAATAGAAGCTGGTCTATTGTGGTGGTAAAATCCAGTAATACCAGCTACTCTGGGGGCCTAAGAAAGAAAGACTGAAAATTCAAGGCCTTCCTGGGTTACAGAGCATGTTTCTGTGTCAAAACTAAACTAAATAATGAATAAACAGTAAAGCTGGGACACAGCTCTGTAGTAGAACACATGTATAGCAATCATAGGCCTTATATTAAATCTTCTGTACAAAATAAAAAAGAAAAAGATATAAATACTGACAAAACTGAATTTTCAAGAGAAAATCCTTACATGTATTTTTATCATTTAGAAACTAAATTTGCATTTTTCTTCAAAAACTTGCTTTAAATATTAGAATTCCACTGAATGTTTGGGTCATTTCAAGACAAGGAAACCCTGAAGTGGTTTAGAATGTTTCAAACTGAGGTATTACATTTGTGTCCTGCCATCCCTTAGGTCTGCAGAGAGAGGTATAAAATAATTTAGCAGCTCCCAATTGATTTTAGCATATATATATAAATATATAAATAAATACATAATATATAAATACATATATTTATTATGTAGTATATATTACAAAATATATATAAAGAATGAAAAAAAACATGCATAAACAGATACAAATATTACAAATATAGGGCAGAAAGAAGTTACAAGGGTTACAAGGGCAAGAGTGACAGACTCAGGTCCAAACACCTGCACTCATGT